GTCGTCTGACAGGAAGTGTCCGCGCGCAATCAGGTCCTCGCCCGAGCGCGTGAACTTCTCGAACGCGCCCATCTTCATGTCGATGGCCGCCCGGTGCTCCTTGTGTTTCTCGATGAGGGCCTCGGCGCCGGGGACGTCGCGAGCGAGCTCATCCGAAGTGATGATCGCCATCATCTCGTTAATCCACGCCCTTAACAAACAACGTCACTCGTTAGTCACTGATTGTTAATCCACGCACTTAATGAACGTCACTCATTAGCCCTTAACAAACAACACTTATTAGCCACTGATCGTTAATCCATGCCCCTAACGAACAACGTCACTCGTTAGCCCTTGACGAACAACATTGCTTATTAGCCACTAATCGTTAATCCACGCCCTTAACGAACGTCACACGTTAGACGCTAATCGTTAATCCACGCCCTTAATGAACAACGTCACTCGTTCGACGCTAATCGTTAATCCACGCCCTTAACAGCAGACAACATTACACATTAGCTACAGATCGTTAATTCACGCTCTTAACGAACAACGTCACTCATTAGCCCTTAATGAACAACATCGCTTATTAGCCACTAATCGTTCATCCACACCCGATCAATGTCACTCATTAGCCAAAACCCAGTAACGTAACCGTAATTAATAACCCAACGCGACTAATCACCGCCGGCGCGCTTAATCAATTAATAAATTAATAAATTAACGATCGCATCTAATTAATCGCGTACATGAGCTCGCGGAAGTCGCTGAAGTACGACTGCAGGTTCTCGGACTCGACGAGCTTGCTCTTCTTCTGCTCGGTCTGAGCGAGCAGCGTGCTCCACGCGTCTCCGGCTTCCTCCTGCTTGCTGCGAATGTGCTCGGCCGCGTCCGGAAACTCCCCGCCGAGCCTCGCTGCAGTCTGCTTCACGCTGTCCACCTGCTCGCCGACGGCGTGAAGGTCTTGCTGCAGGGGGGGGGACGCGTGACGGGAAGAAGCGTTAATGAGTGGCGATCAATGACAGTATTATTAAAAGGGTAATTAATTATAATAAAAATTATAATGAAATGATTAGTGGTAAAAATATAAATAATGTGATGAAAAAATTATGAGTTATTATGATGCATGATAATGAACTAATTATTAATAAAAATTAATTAACATAATTGATAAATAAACCAGCAAAATTGCGAGCGATCTACACAATCAGGAAGGCTGCAAAACACAAAATCGCAATCACGGAAGACATATATGACAATTTGATTTTGAAAGAAATGTGGACGCGAGACACTAGATGCAGCCTTGCCCATGCACCCTTGTGTCTAATCACGAGACGTCATAACAAAATCCAGCGATCGAAACGAGATGCAAAGGAGGCGAAAATACAGCATCGTGTTTACCTTTTATTACTTACTATTATTGTTATTGTTATACTTTGCGGTTATTGTGATGAAGGGTACTTCATTTTTCAGAAGATAGAGAAGGAGGTGAAGGAAACAAGTGATAAGAATTGGGTGAAAATACGACATCGCATTTACTGTTTATTCTTTATTGTTACTGTTATAGTTTGCCTTTATTGTGATAAAAGGTATTTACTTCTCCATCTATTTTTATCCACCCGTGGAGGGGAGATACCGGGTACACGTTGAGATAATACTGAGGTAATTTTGTAATACGCCAGTGGTTCTGAACCTTTTTGGCCCCACGACCCCATCAGACATTCTTGGTCAGTACCGTTACCCCCGAAACAAAAATGTTTAAAAAAAACAGCCCAATTTATGGAAACATGTCTGCCAACACTCAGTCAATGGGATGGCTGAAATTGCTTCACAGCCATCAAGCGATCAAAAACAAATTCGGACAAGTGCTTTGGGCTTGTGGGCAACCAAATTCATGAATCAAACTTTGTAGCACCCTGATAGTTATATAGAATTTAAATGCATTTGTTTCATTTATGACCCCTTGATGACCCCCGGAAAACCACCCAAAAACGACCCCCATGGGTGTTACGACCCCCAGGTTAAGAACCGCTGTAATACGCCTTACCTCGAATGCCAAGTGTCTTCTCTCCAGAGCTTCCACGGCATCAAGGTCCTGGCCGTAGTCCTCCGTGATGAGCATCGCCTCTTTCTCGTGTATCCAGGAAACCAACTCATCCGTATCATGGTCGAACGTGTGCACCTGCTTGGCACCCTCCAACGCCTGCAGCGTGATGTTAGCGTTATAGTACCTTACTTCTCCCCCTCACTGTACGTGTACTCAAGTACCTACTCACGCCTTCACTTCCTCTACATAGTACGTGTTGTGCGTGCACATTTTCTGTATTTAATTGATCACAGAGTACGTGCGTTACTTTATTCTCGCACTGGCATCCGTATTCAAGAAATGATCTAGTTCTCCAGGCCATACCTCGTGCCTAGACTTCCCCACCCCCACCCGCAGTTCTCGAGGCCATACCTCGTGTCTAGACCACCCCACCCCAACCCACAGTTCTAAGGGCCATACCTCGTGCCTAGACTT